ACAGTTGCTTCATGCTTTATTAAATCTTTTGATAAGTTCCTACAATCTTCTGCTTTTAGGGACGGTTTGAGATAATTACACTCTCTGGATCCTATGTGCTTACTGAGCTTGGAGGTAGGACTGGTGGGTTGAGTGTGTGTTTATCCAGTACCGATGGTCAGATCATTGGCGGAGGAGTTGGCGGACCCTTGTTAGCTGCAGGCCCAGTGCAGGTATAGTTATCTGCTTTTTAGCTATTAAAATGTGTAAATGCGACCAGACACCACCTTATTTAATGGCAAATTGGTTGTGCAGGTTATCGTTGGTTCATTTCTGGTTAATGCAAAGAACAACACCATGAAAGGCAATGCTTCTGGTAAGTTGCCATCACCTTTGCGTGGCCCATCACCTTTGAGTGGGTTTCGCTCTGGGGTTGAATCTTCAGTTGCGAGTCATTTCATGGTACAGCCTGGGGCCAATATCTGACAGATTGACAACCTATGGGATTTCCTCGAGAACAACTTAGAACAGTGCACATATCTATTTTCTCTGGATAAGGCGTTGACTTTGGGAGCTTGATGAGCACTATACTGTGTTGGGTATATCTAGGTGATAGGTTCTTTTTGCACGAGGTACTGGAAATGGTAGGCTGTATCTATCCTATCTGGCGTATAATTTCTACTTAATCTGTACAGATCCCAACCCCTCATCACTCTTTACATAGGTGAAGCTGATGCTGCTTTAAGTTTTACACAGTTGAGGTGATTGTACGGCTTCTTTGTGCATATTATCGAAGAATCCTCTTATAGCCTCATGTCCTTGTGCATATTATTGAATTCTCCTCTTATAACCTTGCTTTTAGTGCCTTCTGGTTCTTTTGCATGAGAAAGTTCAACAGCAACGAGTTCTTCGAGCATCTTTTAGGATGTCTTGCTGCTATTTGTATCTGAAAATGGTTGCTTATTATCATCATCGGGACTTATGCGGTCCCTAATTTCAGATGCAGGTTTGAGTTTTTTTACTTCCCTTCTTTTGTGCCTATATCATTGGCTTCATATGTTTATTACAAGTACCTTTCTGCTGTGAACTTGAACATGTCATGTCTGCTGGATTGCCCAAACCAAGCCGCATAAGGTGAAGTCACTATGCCCAATGCTACTGCAACGTGGAGTCGATGTCTATCGCTTGTAATATCCGAAGGTAGTTGGGAGCTACAGCTGATTTATTGCATCGTTGTGTCGTACGCAATTTCTGTTCCGAAGGTCAATATGAACTCGTGCATCAGCGTCCTTGGCTGGAGACGACAACGATCGAAGTAGTAGTGGTTTGCAGTGCAGCGAGGTGCTCATTTACAATGACGTCGATCCACGACATCTGGAATAGTAATGGGTCCTAGTACCTGAAGCTGCTCATCATTTGTCTCGTGCCCGAATTTTTGGCATTCATCATGCTATTTCCAGATGCAACTGATTAGTGATTAGGAAGGGTGCCTTCCTTACTGATCCTCTGCCTTTGTTACACTGGGTATATCTTCTGCCATTCTCGTTTATGCGGTACCTCCTATTCGGGTTTGCGTTAGAAGACTCAGCTGCGTTGAATTACATCGGAGGTTTAAGACGTGAAGTCCACTTAAGCAATGACTTGCTTCCTAAATCGAATCGATTTAAGCTGGTTAGGTATAGCTATGCCTGAGTTGTAGCCGTGTGTAACGATGTGACGTGCTATAAATTGTCCCGATTTGTATGTTCTGTAATACATGTTTCAAAATTACAGCGCTTTTAAACTGAGCGAGGCCGCTTCCTAAAAGTTGTGCGTGGGGGCACTATAATTATTAAATGTTTGTCAAACACGTTGTACAAATGCGCCTTGTCGCATGATAAACAAATGCGCATATATTTAGAGTTATTGTTAATCAAAAGGGATATAAGTCAAAAGTTTCGACTCAAACGAGTAAAAACAAAATTAGAGCGATGAAAGTTTCAAAGTGGATGAAATTCTGTCCATTTAAGAGACTCTCCTTTTGAGTTTGGTCTAGTTGTGAAAATTTAATTGGATTTCACGTTTGATGAAAAAGTAGAATTGGATAATTTTTTCAAGACGCGTTTAAATTAATGTTGAATTTTGATGACTTACCTTGTAAGTTGCCGGACGGATAATGAATGACTCACATTTTTCTATTAACATGGAAGTAATCAATATTATTTTTACAAAGGAGAAAAAGTTGAAAAAAGAAGAAGAAAAACAAGAGAACGTGAATTGTCGCTAGGGTTTCTCTGGCAAGCCTCTCAGGCAGCGCCTCTCGGATTCGTTTCTCCTCCTCTGCTGGCAACAAGAGCCGCAGCTTCATGGGAGACTCTCCCGCTCGGAGTCCGGTCGTCTCGTGTTCCGCCTCTCTCAATTATAGCGAAGCTCGTGTCTCGGAAGCACCTGCGATCGGAACCGGTACGTTACACGAAGTTGTCTCGATTGTCGGATTTCGAGTTTGATTTGAGCGCTTTGGTTTGATGGTGTTTGTGTGCTATCTGGTGTTTGTGCTCTAGTAGTCGGAATGCAGAGGTGAAGAGAGTTACGAAGGAGACGAATGTGTCCGTGAAGATCAATCTGGACGGGACTGGGGTTTCCAATAGCAGCATCGGAATTCCCTTTCTCGATCACACGTTGGATGTGAGTAGTATATGTGGTCGGCTTTAGCTTTGTTTTGCTTTTAGGATTGATCAGTTCTTGTGTGCTATTTGCAATTTATATTGTTCATGGTAAGAGCTGGAGAGTAACAACCTAAACTTTAATAGTTTCTTCTCGCACTTGATTTGTTATATTTTGATTCATCTGGTGCGCATTTCAATACTTTGACTCGTTGAGAGAGAGTTAGTCATGCACTGGCTGGAACTACATTGCTATTGCTCATAGCGGTGTTAGCCTTCCAAGTTGGATCGGTTAAGCTAAGTTTTAGGGTTGGTTTTAGTCGACTCTTCCTGAGTCGACCCATACTCTGCCAGCACTCGGCCCATATTCGGCCAACACTCGGCCTATACATTTCCTTGATGTCATGTGTTTGTTGGGCCAAATTTTCAAGTCAACGCCATAGCCCAAAAGATCTTTCTCCGTCTCAAAATTGAGGCGAATCACTTTCTATCCAAAAAACGATGCATTTTAGCTCAGTCGTCTATTGTTTCGCTCTTTTGGCCATTCGAAACAGAATGGAGCTCTCTCTCCCATCTCGCCTCGCCTGCAACTCCAGTACTCCATTCCCGCGGCTCAGCAATCAAAGGCCGTCGTTAGGGTTGCTCTGGCAAACCACTCCAGCAGCGCCTCCCGGATTCGCCTCTCCTCCTCCACCGGCAGCAAGAGCCGTGGCTTCATGGGAGACTCTCCCCGCTCGGAGTCCAATTGTCTCGTGTTCCGCTTCTCTCCAGAAGAACGGGGCTTTTGCCTCGGCAGCGCCGACGATCGGCACCAGTATGTTATAGGAAGTTTCATGATTGTCGGATTCAAGTTCGATTGAGTGTTTTGGTTTGATGGTGTGTTTATGTGTGTGCTGTTTGTGCTCAGGTGGTCGGATTGGGGAGGTGAAGAAGGTTACGAAGGAGACGAATGTGTCCACGAAGATCAATCTGGACGTGACCGGGGTTACCATTAGCAGTACCGGCGTTCCCGTTCTCAATCACATGTTGGATGTGAGTAGCATATGCGATCGGCTTTAGCTTTGTTTCTGCTTTTCATGGCAAGAGTTGGAGGGTAACAACTTATATCATGATAGCTTCGTCGCGCACTTGATTTGTTGCCGATAATGAAAATATTTTTTAACGGACTAATTATTTCAAGCGATTATGTTTCGAAAAATATTTTTAAATCATTTATTTTTCAATAAATAAACCAAGAAAAAGGGGGGAAGAACAGCATTGGTGCCAAAAGTTGTGTACGGAGCTCACTTTGGTGTCAAAAGTTTCATTTGGATCACTTAAGTGCCTAAAGTTAACGCCGGCGATCACTTAAGTGCCAAATCGGAGAAAAAACGATTACTTAAGTGCCAACGGCGAGAAATTCCGACCAAATTTAATACGTGGCTTTTATATTTAAATTTTAATGACACGTGGCATTTCCATGTGTATAATTCAATTTTTTAAATATTTTTTTCTGATTTTTTTTTCTTTCTTTTCTTTTCTTTTTTCTTTTCTTTTTCTTCTACCATGGCCGGTGGCCGGAGGCCAGCCACCGGCCATGGCCGGCCTCGCCGGGCATCGCCTTCCTCCGGGCGAGGGCCGGCGAGGCTGCTGTGGCCTCGCCCGGAGGAAGGCGACGCCTCGGCGAGGCAGTCGTGGCCTCGGCGAGGGTCGGCCTCGCCAGATTCGGCGAGGGCTCGCCTCGCTAGATCCGGCGAGGCCGGCCCTCACCTGGAGGAAGGCGACACCCGGCGAGGCCGGCCATGGCCGGTGGCCGGACGCCGGCCATCGGAAATAAGAAGAAAGAAAAGAAAAAAAAGAAAAGAAAGGAAAAAAGAAAGAAAAGAAATGCCACATCAGCCCCCGGCAAGCCACATCAGCTTGAGAAATTAATAAAAAAAATGCCACGTCGGATTTCCGGCGAAGTGGCACTTAAATGATCGTTTTTCAAAATTTTTGGCACTTAAATGATCCAAATGAAACTTTTGGCACCAAAGTGAGCTCCGTACATAATTTTTGGCACCAATGCTGTTCTTTCCTCCAAGAAAAAGTGTAAAATTACGAAACTAGAAGTCAATGATGAGTTTTGAACTTGATGGACAGTGATAAAAAAAAAGAAGAAGACAATGATGGACTTGCGTTTTGGATGACTATTTATTTTCATCTTTTATGGGCCGATTTGGCCCATACTTGGCCAACTCACGGCCAATACATTTCCTCGGCGCCAAGTGCTTGTTGGGTCAAATTTCCAAGTCGTCGCCGCCATGGCCCAAAAGATCTTTCTCCGTTGCAAATTGAGGCGAATCTCATCCTACGCAAAAACATAGCATTTTAGTTCCTCCTTCTATCATTTCGCTCTTCTGGGCCATTGGAAGCCGACTTTTCCGGCTCTCCGCACGCGAACACCAGCACGGATGGAGCTCCCTATCCCATCTCACCTCGCCTACAACTCCACTCCCTCGGCTCAGCCGTCGAGGGCCGTTGCTAGGGTTTCTCCGGCGAGCCTCTCCGGCAGTGCCTCTTGGATCCGTCTCTCCTCCTCCGCCGACAACAAGAGCTGCGGCTTCATGGGAGACTCTGCCGCTCGGAGTCCGGTCATCTCGTGTTCTGCCTCTCTCAATTACAATGGAGCTCCTATCCCAGAAGCGCCTGCGATTGGAACCGGTACGTTACACGAAGTTGTCTCGATTGTCGGATTTCGAGCTTGATTTGAGAGCTTTGGTTTGACGGTGTTTGTGTGTTGTCTGGTGTTTGTGCTCAGGTGGTCGGATTAGAGAGGTGAAGAGGGTTACGAAGGAGACGAATGTGTCCATGAAGATTAATCTGGACGGGACCGGAGTTTCCTATAGCAGCACCGGCATTCCCTTTCTCGATCACACGTTGGATGTGAGTAGTATAAGTGGTCGGCCTTAACTTTGTTTTGCTTTTGGGATTGGTTAGTTCTTGTGTGCTATTTGCAATTTATATTGTTCATGGCAAGAGTTGGAGAGTAACAACCTAAACTTTAACAGCTTTTTCGCGCACTTGATTTGTTGTCTTTTGATTCATCTAGTGCGTATTTCAATACTTTTGCTCGTTGAGAGAGAGTTCGTCATACATTGGCCGGAACTATAGTGCTATTGCTCATAGCGGTGTTAGCCTTCCGAGTTGGATCGGTTAAGTTAACTTTTAGGCCCATACTCTGCCAACACTCGGCCCATACTCTGCCAACAATCAGTCCACACATTTCCTTGATGCCATGTGTTTGTTGGGTCAAATTTCCAAGTCAACACCATAGCCCAAAAGATCTCTCTCCGTCCCAAAATTGAGGAGAATCACTTCATACCTAAAAAACGATGCGTTTTAGCTCCTTCTCCTATCGTTTCGCTCTTCTAGCCAATTGAAACAGAATGGAGCTCTCTCTCCCATCTCACCTGGCCTACAACTCTAGTACTCCACTCCCGCGGCTCAGCCATCGAAGGCCGTCGCTAGGGTTGCTCCGGCGAATCTCTCCGGCAGCGCCTCTTGGATCCGCCTCTCCTCGTCCACCAACAGCAAGAGCCGCGGCTTCATGGGAGACTCTCTAGCTCGGAGTCTGGTCGTCTCGTGTTTCGCCTCTCTCAATTACAATGGAGCTCCTGTCCTAGAAGCGTCTGCGATTGGAACCTGTACGTTACACAAAGGTGTCTCAATTGTCAGATTTCGAGTTTGTTTTGAGCACTTTGGTTTGATGGTGTTTGTGTGGTGTCTGGTGTTTGTGCTGAGGTGGTCAGATTGGGGATGTGAAAAGGGTTACGAAGGAGATGAAAGTGTCCGTGAAGATCAATTTGGATGGGACAGGGGTTTCCGATAGTAGCACCGGCAGTCCCTTTCTCGATCACATGTCGTATGTGAGTAGTATATGTGGTTGGCTTTAGCTTTATTTTGCTTTTGGGATTGATCAGTTCTTGTGTGCTATTTGCAATTTATATTGTTCATGGTAAGAGCTGGAGAGTAACAACCTAAACTTTAATAGTTTCTTCTCGCACTTGATTTGTTATCTTTTGATTCATCTGGTGCGCATTTCAATACTTTGACTCGTTGAGAGAGAGTTAGTCATGCACTGGCTGGAACTATAGTGCTATTGCTCATAGCGGTGTTAGCCTTCCGAGTTGGATCGGTTAAGCTAAGTTTTAGGGTTGGTTTCAGTCATAGTCCTGCTCCGTGTCTGTAGTTAGAACTTACGTGCACCGAAAATGCATGTTTGTTTGTATTAGCAACTTGCTTCATATGGGCTGTTCGATGTACATGTAAGGACAACTGGTGACATTCACATTGACGATCATGACACGATTGAAGATGTTGCTCTTGCCATTGGAACAGCGAGTATTCGCTCCTGTTCAGACTTTCATTCCATGGTCAGCTCTATTGTTACTGAAGAAGAATCTTCTAAGGGAGGTGGTACTTATATATATATGAGATATGACATTTCCCTCTGACTGTCCCGTATAGTCGAGCAACACTGGTGACTGATCCTTTTTATGACTGTATTGACTTGAAAAAAGCTGGAATATAATTTTTAGAGCAAAATCCAACCATTCCCATGTTTCCACTGATTCTGCTGAAGCTCTTTTTTTTTTTTCTATTTTCTGGTTTGCAAGGAGAGGCGATCTTGTCATTTTCGTCACGGGTTTTGCTTAGATGTGTGTGAATGGCATTCGCAAAAATAAAGGTACGTAAATAAATAGTCATTGCGCCGTAAGTGACGTTCGCTTTTGATAGTTTTCTAGCATGGGATATCACTTGCTCCAAACAACAACGAAAAGCCCAACAGCATTTGCACTATGCATGTTGAAGTGTTAAAAGGCCACCACATCAACACAACCGCGTCTTCGACGACAAAAAAAAACACAACCATATCTAAGAACTTTAGAGAATAAATTATACAAACTGAATTTTTTCTTTGAGACTCCGTTCGTTTCACGGAAAATAACTTTCAGGAAAACGTTTTCCGGATTTTCCGACGTTCGTTTGATGGAAAATAAACTAGTTATGGAAAATATTTTCCTTCAATGAAAAAAAACACCTTCAAAAGTGAAGGAAAATGTTTTCCTCTTCCATTTTTTTTCTTTGTCCCTTTTATTTTTCTTTTATTTAATTTTCGCCTTCTTCTCTAGCCAATTGCCGGCTAGAGGCGAGCTCGAGCCCTGCCGGATCTGATGAGGCCTCAGCTCGCCCGACTGGCCTGGGGCAAGTTGGACGAGGCTCGAGCCTCACCTGATGTCGCCAGAGCCTTGCTGATCTCTTGTTATTTTCCAATTCATTTTCAGATTTTGGCTGAACACCGAAAATATTGTTATTTTCTTGGAAAATGACTTCCCGGAAAACATTTTCTAGAAATGTCACGTTTTTCGCGAGACAAACAGAACCTAAAACTACATTATTCAAAACTCCGTTTATTTCAAGAAAGTTTTGCGAAAAATTGATGATTTAGAATATATTTATCTTAAAATGATCGCTTATATCGCTAAAAGAAATGAATGAACGAAAAATTTTTTAGTCGCTTGCCAAAATATCCGGATGATTAAATATTTCAAGCGATCATTTTTAGAAAAATAATTTTAAATCTCTTATTTTCTGTGAAAAGAACAAAACTACGAAACTAGAGGTTAAGTAGGGATGTGCAATCGGACCGGGTTTAGCCGGGAACCGGACCGGCTCACCCGAAAAACAGGTCCGGGAATCGGTTCCTGTTTGAACCGGTCCAAGAACCGGTTTCATTTTTTGGAACCGGTTGGAACTGGTCTGCTTCCCGGTTCCAAGTGAAAACTCACTCGGGAATTGAACCGGTTTTAAGCTAACGTAAAAAAACCCCTAGAATAAGTTAAGTGGGGAGATTCGCGAGCGCCTCCTCTGTATCTCTGAGTCTCTCTCTTCGAGTTCGCGAGTCGCCTTCTGGCCCTTCTCAGTCGCCGCAGGAACACGTCGCATCTCGTCGCCGCGGCCCGCAAGAACGCGACTTTTTCCGTTTCAAGAGCTGTGGAGCAGGTAGCGTCAAGGCATTTGTGGTTCCTAGGAGCTCCTCTCGAGCTCTCGCTTCCGTCAAGTTCGTTCCCCCGCTTCTTTTTCAGTCCCCCATCGCAGGTACTTTCGTCGTTTCTGCTGTTTCCCCCTTGTTTCTTGGCTGTGTCGGAAGTGGCAAAGATGGCTTCTTTTTGCAAAAGTTGGGGGTAGAAGCATGATGGTCCTTAGAAACCCCATTTAATTGGGTTGTTTCTCGTATTGTCATGATAATTGGACCTGGCGAGGGAACTCATGAGGGAAAAAAACAAAAGATAATCTTGTTGTGTCTTTGTAGGGCTTCACTGAAGAAGCGTGTCGCTCTGTCCTGAGCTGAGACTTCAAGAAATGTACGTTGTTTGCTTTACCATTTCGCCTAGGCGATTCTTCCCATTGCGGAGTCAATAGGATTTATTTTGTGGGAATCCTGTCTTTTTGCTCAAGCTGTAGATTGTAGTCTCTTGCTTTTCCCGGGTGTTGGAAATTTTGGTTATGATCATGGAATCTGGCAAATCCGTTCTGTTGTTCTAGTGTAAATGTCTCGCCTTTCGGGTCATATATGTGTGTGTTTGTGGAAACAATGGAACCAGAAAAAGGGAAAAAATAAATAAATTCTCGGATAGACCCTAGAATCGGATCGAAAAAACAGGGTAGATTCCAAAATAAGGTTCCAAGAAAAATAAGGTAAGTTCCAACTTCAAAAAACTAAGAATCAGTTATAACAGAGTAGGTTTCAGGTTCCAGGCCTAGACCCTACTCACCCCGGAACCCGATCATCCCTAAGGTCAAGGATGAGTTTTGAACTAGATGGACAATGATGGACTTGCGTTTTGGATGACTAATTTTTCACCCCTTGATGGGCCGAGTTGGCCCATCTCCTGCCAACGCTCGGCCCAAAATATCCTTCCCCCTCGCAGATTGAGGCGAATCTCTTCCTACCCAAAAACGGCGCGTTTTTGGTTCCTTCCTCTGTCGTTTCGGCTCTTCTGGCCATCCGAACCGAGAAGCCGATTTTCTCCAACTCTCTCCGCACGCGAACGTCAGCACGAATGGAGCTCTCCCTCTCTTCTCACCTCCTCGCCTGCAACTCCACTCCCTCAGCTCAGCCGTCGAAGGCCGCCGCTAGGGTTCCTCCGGCGAGCCTCTCCGGTAGCGCCTCTCGGATCCGTCTCTTCTCCGCCGCCGGCAGCAAGAGCCGTAGCTCCATGGGGGACTCGCCCGCTCGTAGTACGGTCGCCTTGTGTTCCGCCGCTCTCGATCACAACGGAGCTTCCGTACCGGAAGCGCGTGCGATCGGAACCGGTACGTTACACAAAAGCCGTCTCGATTGTCGGATTTCGAGTTTGATTCGAGCGCTTTGGTTTTGATGGCGTTTGTGTGCTGTCGGGTGTTTATGCTCAGGTGGTCGGATTGGGGAGGTGAAGAGGGTTACGAAGGAGACGAATGTGTCCGTGAAGATCAATCTGGACGGGACCGGGGTCGCGGATAGCAGCACCGGCATTCCCTTTCTCGATCACATGTTGGATGTGAGTGGTATATGTGGTCGGCTTTAGCTTTGCTTTTTGCTTTTCTTGGCAAGGATTGGAGAGTGGCAGCTTAAACTGCAATAGATTCTGCAAGCACTCGATTTGTTATCTTTTGATTCATCTGGTGCTCATTTCGATACTTTGGGTCGGTGAGAGAGAGTTAGTCGTGCACTGGTTGGAACTATAGTGCTATTGCTCATAGCGGTGTTAGCCTTCCGAGTTGGATCGGTTGAGCTAAGCTTTAGGGTTAGTTTCGGTCATAGTCCTGAGTCCTGAAATGCCCCGTGTCTCTTGCTAGGACTTACTTGGACTGAAAATGCATGTCTATTTGTATCAGCAACTTGCTTCGCATGGGCTGTTCGATGTGCATGTAAGGGCAACAGGTGACATACACATTGACGATCATCACACGAATGAAGATGTTGCTCTTGCCATTGGAACAGTGAGTATTCGCTCCTTTTCAGACTTTCATTCCATGGTTTGCTCTATTGTTACTGAAGAAGAATCTTCTAATGGAGGTGGTACTTTATAAATATATGAGAGAATGCGATTGTGAGACATTTCCCTCTGACTATCCCCTTTTGTTCAGCAACACTGGTGATTGATTCTTTTTTATGATTGTGTTGACTTGTAAAAACTGGAATATCATTTTCAGTGCAAAATCCAACTATTCCCATGTTTCCACTGATCCTGCTAAAGCTCTTCTTTTTTTTCTGGTCTGTAGGCCTTGCTGCATGCACTTGGTGACAGAAAAGGGATACACCGGTTCGGTGACTTTTCAGCTCCTCTAGATGAAGCACTCATTCACGTTGCACTGGTATCTGTACAATCACTTTTGAGTCTTTTAAGCAATTTTTTGGCAACAACTAACCACACCGTTCTACTTAGGAAGGAAATTCGCTTATGAAGCTAGTTCACTATCAGCTAATCGTTAGGCCGTTAAGTTACTTTGGTAGATGCAGCTGATATGTTTATTTTAGTAACGGCATTACTGAGAATGAGATGAGAAACAAATAGATGCCGAATCAGATGAAGCAAGAACGGGCTTGAAATTTGAAGCTGTACTAATCAGTCCTAAACACCACAGGCTTTTTTTTTTAAAATTTCCAGAAGAATGATGACCTAGAGGAACTTCATATTCAAGCCACCAACACCGAAATTGCTTCTCAACTAAGTAGTTTGTATAATCATTTGCAAATCACCCCATAAAACCTTTTCACGGGGCCTTGTAGTTGTGCCTTCTTATGTGTTGTGTCAGAGGAAGGAGAAATGGACATCACATAAAAGTATATTTGAGTCAAGCTGACAAAGTTTATATCTTGAACTCAGCTGAATTAAAATGCAAGTACTTTCCTTGAGTTTGATTGTGCTTGCTTTTTTAGCTCAATCTACAGTTGATTAAGTGTTCTTTGTGCTCGAGCTAGATCATCTTGGCTCAATAATCAAAAGATTTATATATGATAAACTTAAGATCAAACTCAATCTTTTAAAGAATGAGAAATTGAAAACTATATTGCTCTTACATTTGGAGTATATTATATAATAGAAACATATAGAGATCTCAACTGTTTGATTTGATTCATGAGGAGCTTGAGTGTATTTATCTTACACTTTATTTAATCAGGTCAAAAACCTTTAAAGATCCTAATCATTGATGCTACTCAAGATTCAATACTTTCTTAGGTTTTAGATTCTAGGAGATTAGAGATCTAAGATATGGGACTAGGGTTTCGAGTTCAACAACCATGGATTCTCTACACTACACTAATTCATATGCTGACGGCTTTTTTGTTATCTCTAAAAATTTCCTAGATAATATAGCTTGGTTGACTGTCAGGTCGTGCCTGGAATCTCACATCTCTAGATGTTTATCCATTCAATTTTCTCTTTCTCAGTTTAGCGATGTGCTCTATCTTTCATGCTGAATTTGTGTATAATCTATGTCATTTTGGTTCAGGATTTATCTGGCCGGCCGCACTTAAGTTTTGATTTGCAAATACCAACACAGAGAGTTGGAACATATGACACTCAGGTATTCTAGTAATTTACTTGTTGGAATTGCGTATGCAGTATGCATGTGTCTCAGATTTTACTTCCTAGGATTCCAGATGTATGAATTCATGCAGCATCTAATATAATTTCTTCTTCTTACTCTCTTCCTTATGCATAAAGGATGTTCAGTTCTGAATGTCAATCGAATTTTCTTTTGTATTAGTTGGTGGAGCACTTTTTCCAGTCTTTGGTGAATACTTCTGGCATGACGCTTCACATAAGGCAGGTAAATGTTATTTGTCCTCATTGTGATCCTTTATGTACTGTACTAGTGTGTAAAAGAGAGTTGAACCAGTATTTTATCTAGTTATGTCTACTTTCTCATGATAGTCAAGACAGCTCTATAATTTTTTTTTTTTTTTGCTTGCTCATTCTGAAAGATTATTTCAATGTTTGAGGGCAGCTAGCTGGAAAAAACTCACACCATATTATTGAGGCAACGTTTAAAGCCTTTGCAAGAGCTCTTCGACAAGCTACAGAATATGACTTACGGCGCCAAGGGACTATTCCAAGGTATCATGTTTTGGTGCCCATATCTTTGTACCTTTCCAAATGCTTTATGTTATTCAATGCAAGTTTTGTTTGTAGGAATTGTTTTGAAGCTATAGCAGAGTGTTTGAGTGTTTTGTAGAAATTCTCTGTATTATAAGAATTAGTTTATCACTCTGCAGCCTGTTCAAAATGTCTTCTTTCAGCACTATCTTGGTCCCGCCCACTCAGCCCTTTTGATGAATCAATCAAGTAGACTTCAGCCTTCTGTAGCCACACGTGGCCTTGTGATTGAGATTGGTATTGAATGTTTATGATATATTAGCATTTAGCAGATGAATTTCTTAATGTAACATTACCTGTGCGTTCTGGAAATGCATATAATAAAAATTTGTTTGAGCTTTGACCACTTTGACTTTTTGCTAGAAGTTGGCTTCTCTCTATAAAACTTGTAATTCTAGTAGCTTTTCCATGATTCTTAGTTGTTCTTTCCAATATTATTAAATGACTAGCCTGACATTTATCTATTATATTTAGTCCTGTCGAACATTTTGAGATGCTTCTGTTTTTTTAGGAGTTTATGTGTTTTGTCAATAATAGCTTTGTTACTTGCCTTTCATTCAAAGTGACTTCTAGCTTTGCAAAGCTTGATCTCTGTTTGTACATACAACGGAGGCATCATTTATCACATCAGGCTTAAGTCGCTCTCTCTGAAATGCACACAATCTTAATGTATATAAAGAACATCCTTGAAAATCATCCAAATTCACAGATGCATATTGGGCGGGTCCTGGAAGTCGGGAAAATCTTACTGGGACATATGACTTGAATGAAATCGGTGGATTCAGTAATTGGATGGGTGAGGCATTCCCACCCACCACAGAAACAATCTTACATGACCATTTCTTTCACTTCCATCCAGCATCATCTTCTTTTGGCCCCTTTTTTGCCCCGAAAAAATCCTTTCTGGATGGGACCAGAATTTTTCATTAGGTCATAATGAGAATTTAAATTTAATTGCTAATCAGCTGGCTAGGTAATGTATGATCGATTTGAAAGCTTGACCAGTCCCCATACCCATGTCCAATTTTCACATCCTTTTTGGCTGAGTCCTCATATCCCAGATTTTGAGGTTAGACAAGTCAGACACTTAGATGCTTGTCCATATTTGATACTGGTGTGAGTCCAAGCAACATAGGCTAGTTGTGCAGCTCAGGGAGATTTTTCCGTCTGTATGATGAGTTGCCTGTCGTACATGTTGCATAGAGATAGTTTGATTATATAATCTGGCAATTGACTAGTGCCATAACTTGTGCAATGCTCATAACTACATGCAATTCTATTTTGCAGCTCAAAAGGGGTGCTATCACGTACTTGATGAGGTCAATCCTTTCATTGAACTGAAGCTGGATTTAGGTAGCCCTAGTATCTGTTCTTTGTCTTTAGTTATTGAAAAAAATTATAGTCACTTTTCGTGGACAGTGCGGCATAGTTTGCATTTGATTTGATGAAACCTCTTTGCCATCTGTGATGTCTTTAGTATTGATTTCTCCAATCATGCATGGTATGTAAAGAGAGCTCTATAATGCTTTCACGGCAATTTGAAATGATCGAGCAAGTTTTTGTCGGAGGAAATAGCAAGGAGCTCAATTGCTTTATGCTCCATGTTGTTCATGTACAATGTGATGGATTGTGTGATGCCATTTGACTTTGATATGATGAAACCTCTTTGCCGTCTGTGATGTCTTTAATATTGATTTCTCCGAATACGCATGGTACACAAAGAGAACTCTATGATGCTTTCACGGCAATTTGAAATGATCTAGCAAGTTTTTGTTGGAGGAAATAGCAAGGAGCTCAATTGCTTTATGCTCCATGTTGTGCATGTACAATGTGATGGATTGTGTGATGCCATTTGACTTTTGCCATGCTGAATGAAGAACGTTGGAGCCATGATAGGTCAACTAAGACTAGATTACAAAATTGTTATACCAAGTGATGTGATCGCATTGCGAATGAGAATTTGAACAAGTGAGCCATATTGAATAGCCAATTAGCATCTGCAACATCACTTAATACCAATTCCACAATCTAGTCTCAGTACACCTAGCGGTATTCACTTATCTGTTAGGATTAGTTTTCAAGGTTGTATGGGCATGTTTGGAAGTATACTATGCTCCCCTAGAAATTAAATCTGGAGGATAACAGATAAGAATCCCAATGAACATTGAGAACATATCGGTATATATTGTAATATTTTCGAGTTTGATGTCAATGTTCACTGTGGTGGAATGTGTTTGCTGAATTAGAAATCTTCACCGAGCAAATTGGATTGGGTCATGAGTCAGATTATTTATTATGAATCGTTTCATTATGGTACTGGTGTAGCAGAATGGTTGAGCAAATGATCAATTGGATGTGGGGTGCTCTATCCTTTATCGAGTTGTATAGGGATTTTGAATGAGTGTTAGGCTTTTAGGCAGCCTCATTTAGCACCGAAAAGTTTCTTTGGAGTTGGACTATTTGGATGATGATAACAATGGCCAAGCGCATCGTCTCCGCTTCACTCACTCACAGGGTCACGTGCAAGCAGGTCTTTGTTGCGGGTACCAATTCTAAGGACATCAGAGCTGTACTCAAGTCTTGATCGAACATACCCAGCATGTTCAGCCGTAGGCCGGATTTTGGCAAACTGGGCGAGGGAAGCTGACAAATACACTACTTCCTATACTCCAAGAGAGAGGGACAAGTTTTAAGGAAAAATAAGAGCGGTAGTTCAGTCTCTAATTAATAATAGTGGCATCGATATTAAAGTTTATCTTGACTGATTTTCCCTCCTTGAGCATGATCTTGTCTATGTGCACAACTTCTAGTAGGAATATACTGACATCTTTGATATTAATTTGAGAATACGCAGGATTGTAGAATTGGTTCATTTGCTGGTTAAATATAGATAGTAGTGAATGTTTGTTCAACACGAGCAGAATCCGATTTTGTTTTCGCTTTGTCGAAATATTTACCTTCTGGATTCTTGAATGAGCATTGTGATAGCTATCATAGCTTCGTATATCTTTCTCTAATTTTACATGGCGTCGATTCGATGCCAGCTTTTGAAACATTATGGATGTCCATGCCACGATGATTAGTTCATCCAATCTTCTTTTAGCAGACAATTATTTACAAGGTTAGGTCCACAAGTCTTGATAGTCCGAAGTATTATTATCACTTGGATTGACAAGTAATATCCTAATCAAATATTCATTATTTAAGTTATTTTAGTTGTCTACTGTTCAACTTGAGTTCGCAACATAAAGATGTAGATAGATATTACTTTGCCCGCCTTTATGACTTTATAATGAATAATTAATTAATATGTATGATGTGGTAATTGTATTCTTGTAGAAAATTTGTACACTATATATACAGTGTTATTTAGTCAGTCTTTTTTTAAAAAGGTACTAAAGCACGGCTAAGACGCGTTCTATTATACGCACCTGTCATCAAGCAAAGATGGAGAACAAAGACACTCAAGTTCGAGTAACTAATGTGGAAAATTGACTGGATGAAATAATCACCACATTTGCAGACTTTGAAGCGTTCGTAACTCCATTGCTTCCGACCAAAATTGCACCCACTCTTGAGGATCTTCATAATCAAGTAAACGAAATGCGTGAGATGATGATGCGTCTTGTGGATCGTGTAAATCAAATGACTATAGAATTGTCATCTTATTCCATGCCGGAAATGATTGGTCTTTATTCAAAGGGTAAAGGAAAATAGCCTTATGAAGAACAAGCATCTGAAATTGAACTATCTTCTGGGACTGGAGAATGTAATCAAGGATATCTTGACAAAATGGACGTAGTTCGTATTCAATCGCGTCATGATTTCAAAAAGAAGCCACGTAAGCATGACCCGCTTCGTCAGTTTACACCCTTACCAAGACCACTCTTTCAATTATTGCCTATGCTTTTGGAAAAGAGATTGGTGGCTAAGGAAGTTCCGAGAGAAAAGCTTCCAAAGTTTACTGGATTCGATATGTGAGAAAAAGGACATGATGTTGATAATTGCTTGGTTCTTAAGGTCAAAATTCAAAATCTGCTTGATAAGGGGATTTTGTCTTCTAGCCATTCGAAACAAAATGGAGCTCTCTCTCCCATCTCACCTCACCTGTAACTCCAGTACTTCACTCACGCAGCTCATCCATCGAAGGCCATCGCTAGGGTTGCTCCGGCGAACCTCTCCGGCAGCACCTCCCGAATCCACCTCTCCTCCTCCACCGGTAGCAAGAGCCGCGGCGTCATGGGAGACTCTCCCGCTCGCAGTCAGATCATCTTGTGTTCCACTTCTCTCCAGAACAACAGGGTTCCTGCCTCGGCGGCGCCGGTGATCGGCACCGGTATGTTATAGGAAGTTTCACGATTGTCGGATTCGAATTCGATTGAGTGCTTTGGTTTGATGGTGTGTTGGTGTATGTGTTGTTTGTGCTCAGGTGGTCGGATTAGGGAGGTGAAGAGGGTTACGAAGGAGACAAATGTGTCCACGAAGATCAATCTGGACGTGATCGGGGTTGCCAATAGCAGCACCGGCATTCTCGTTCTCGATCACAGGTTGGATGTGAGTAGCATATGCGGTCGGCTTTAGCTTTGTTTCTGCTTTTCATGGCAAGAGTTGGAGGGTAATAACTTATATCGTGATAACTTTGTCGCGCACTTGATTTGCTATTGATAATGAAAAAAAATTTAACGGACTAATTATTTCAAGCGATTATGTTTCGAAAAATATTTTTAAATCATTTATTTTTCAATAAATAAACCAAGAAAAAGTGTAAAATTACGAAACTAGAGGTCAAGGATGAGTTTTGAGCTTGATGGACAATGATAAAAAAAAAAAAAAGAGGAGGCAATGATGGACTTGCGTTTTGGATGACTATTTATTTTCATTTTTTATGGGCCGATCCGGGCCATACTTGGCTAACTCACGGCCCGTACATTTCCTTGGCGCCAAGTGTTTGTTGGGTCAAATTTCCCAATCAACGCCGCCATGACCCAAAAGATCTTTTTCCGTTGCAAATTGAGGCGAATCTCTTCCTACCCAAAAACGGCGCGTTTTAGTTCCTCCTTCTGTCGTTTCGCTCTTCTAGGCCATTCGAAGCCGATTTCTCCGGCTCTCCACACGCGAACACCAGCACGGATGGAGCTCCCTCTCCCATCTCACCTCTCCTGCAACTCCACTCCCTCGGCTCAACCGTTAAAGGCCGTCGCTAGGGTTTTTTCAGCAGCGCCTCTTGGATCCGTCTCTTCTCCTCCGCCGGCAGCAAGAGCGGCGGCTTCATGGGAGACTCTCCCACTCGGAGTCCGGTCGTCTCGTGCTCCGCCTCTCTCAATTACAACGAAGCTCCTATCCCGAAAGCGCCTGCAATCGAAACTGGTACGTTACACGAAGTTGTCTCGATTGTCGGATTTCGAGTTTGATTTGAGCGCTTTGGTTTGATGGTGTTTGTGTGCTGTCTGGTGTTTGTGCTCAGGTGGTCAGATTGTGGAGGTGAAGAGGGCTACAAAGGAGACAAATGTGTCAGTGAAGATCAATCTGGACGGGATCGGGGTTTCCGATAGCAGCATCGGCATTCCCTTTCTCGATCACACGTTGGATGTGAGTAGTATATGTGGTCGGCTTTAGCTTTGATTTGCTTTTGGGATTGGTCAGTTCTTGTATATTATTTGCAATTTATATTGTTCATGGCAAGAATTGGAAAGTAACAACCTAAACTTTAATAGCTTCTTCGGGCACTTGATTTGTTATCTTTTGATTTATCTGGTGCGCATTTTAATACTTTGGCTCGTCGAGAGAGAGTTAATCATGCACTAGCTGGAATTATAGTGCTATTGCTCATACGGTGTGTTAGCCTTCCGAGTTGGATCGGTCAAGCTAAGTGTTAGGGTTGGTTTCAGTCGGCTCTTCCTGAGTCGGCCCATACTTTGCCGACACTCGGCCCATATTTGGCCAACACTCGACCCATACATTTCCTTGATGGCACGTGCTTGTTGGGTCAAATTTCCAAGTCAATGCCATGGCCCAAAAGATCTTTCTCCGTCCCAAAATTGAGGTGAATCACTTCCTACCTAAAAAACGACCTGTTTTAGCTCCTTCTCCTATCGTTTCGCTCTTCTGGCCATTGGAAATAGAATGGAGCTCTCTCTCCCATCTCACGTTGCCTGCAACTCCAGTACTCTACTCTCGCGGCTCAGCCATCGAAGGCCGTCGCTAGGGTTGCTCCGGCGAACCTCTCCAGCAGCGCCTCCCGGATCCGCCTCTCCTCCTCCACCGACAGCAAGAGCCATGGCTTCATGCGAGACTCTCCCGCTCGGAGTTCGATCATCTCGTGTTCCGCTTCTCTCCAGAACAACAGGGCTTCTGCCCTGACGGCACCGGCGATTGGCACTAGTACGTTATAGGAAGTTTCACGATTGTCGGAGTTGAGTTTGATTGAGTGCTTTGGTTCAATGGTGTGTTTGTGTGTGCTGTTTGTGCTCAAGTGGTCGGATTGGGGAGGTGAAGAGGATTACCAAAGAGACGAATATGTCCATGAAGATCAATCTGGACGGGACCGGGATTGCCAATAGCAGCACCGGCATTCCCCGTTCTCGATCACATGTTGGATGTGAGTAGCATATGCGGTCGGCTTTAGCTTTGTTTCTGCTTTTCATGGCAAGAGTTGGAGGGTGACAACTTCTATCGTGATAGCTTCGTCGCGCGCTTGATCTGTTGTCGATAATGAAAACATTTTTTAACGGACTGATTATTTCAAGCGATTGTGTTTCGAAAAATATTTTTAAATTATTTATTTTTCAATAAATAAACCAACAAAAAATTGTACAATTTCGAAACTAGAGGTCAAGGATGAGTTTTGAACTTGAAGGACAATAACAATAAAAAAAAATGAAGACAATGATGGGCTTGCGTTTTGGACGACTATTTATTTTCATCTTTTATGGGCTGATCCGGCCCATACTTGGCCAACTCACGGCCCCTACATTTCCTTGGCGCCAAGTGCTTGTTGGGTTACATTTCCAAGCTGGTCCGAGGTTTCTGCGTTTGTCTGTCGAATCCAAGCAGAGCCCCCTTCCCCTTCCCCTTCCCTGCCCCCCCTTCCTCGTCTGTCTGCCGTCGAGCTGAGAAAATGAGCGAGGCGGAAGCGGAGTACTTCTCCAAGGACTTCGACTGGGACGACCTCAAGAACGACGTGGAAGCCGACCCTTCTCTCCGGCATCACTTGCTTCCCTTCCCACCGACCTCTGCGCCGATCCCTCCGCCGCGGGACGTCTCCGGCGCCTGGGGCGGCTTCCACGCCCGTCACCACACCGGAAAGTTCTTCAAGGTCTCGCGTTTTTTCTTGTTTCCCCACGTCCCAAGACTTTGACCTTTTTGATCATTTTTTTTGTGATTTAATCGTGGCGGTTCTTTTCAACGTTGATGGGTTGTGTCCGACGTCAGTGGGCAAACGGATTAGCACCCATTTGAGTGTGTGGTTCGTCTCTGGTCTTGGCCACGCCGGGTTGTGAAAGATTTCTGTGTTTGTTGTATTGTGTAGGAGAGAAGGTACTTATTGAAGGAGTTTCCTGAGCTCGTTTCGTGTGGGAAGAAGAACACTAAGGTTTTGGAGGTGGGCTGTGGCAATGGCAGCACCGTTCTTCCCATTTTGCGGTAATTTCGATTCGGTTCTCGACCCGACCCCCCCTTCCTTTTTGAAAAGGAGGAATGCTCCTGTATGTGATGATTAAAGTTGCAAACTTTGGGACTTAGAAATCGGGATGCTGTCATGTGACGTAGATTGCGTGTTGTTCTTGTAGTGGGAATGAGGATGTCGTCGTGTATGCTTGCGATTGTAGCGGTGAAGCTCTCGAGTACGCGAAAGAGATGGTCGACACGTCGAATGTGGCCTCGATTGAGCGTCGCTTTCATCCATTCCTTTGCGACTTCTCTCTCGATGGTTTCCCAATGTGGTTGGCTTGTGGTCCATGTCGAGAGACTTCTCTACACAAGCATTGTTGCTCTTCAGGTTTCTATAACTGCTGATTCGCCTAAGTTCCTACCATTTGTTTAGGGCTTGATATAGAGATGCGAAATGCAAGTTAACTTTTTGCTATTCAGAAGCCGAAGAGAAAACTGAAATGCCCTTGAGGGGATTCGATCTGTCCAAAGATAGCTCTTGTCTTGGAGGTGTGGACTTCATTACCATGGTATGCATGCTTCTGTAATTTTCTTTTTGTGGGGTAAAGTATAGGGATATCAAAACTTTCTTAACATTTACAGTGCTTGCATGATGTTTCATGTAGGATTTAAATTAATCTCATATGCTAGCTGTGCAGAAAAGAACAATTTGAATCCCCATATTGCAATAAATGCCAAACTTAGTCATTTAAACATATGCATGTTTCAGTCTTTCCATCATTTTCCACTGTAAATGGTGATATGACGGCATTAATGTTTGATCAATGCTTACATTGACATCCTCCATATGTCATCTCATTCAAAACACCATGTCACTCATGATGACAGTCATTGTTTGATTTCGTTCTGTGTCTTGTAGATATTCACTCTATCCGCCATACCATTCCAGATGATGCCAAAGGCTCTCGCTGAGTGCTTCTGTGTTCTAATACCTGGTGGATTGCTTCTATTCAGAGACTATGGTAATGGACATGCATATGAAGCTCTTAACTACAGGGTCTTTGGTTTGATCTTGATTTATATATCGTTTGTTCATTATGGTGGAGTTCTATACTTAACTTCATCGTGTCTGGGTGATGAATCTCAGGTCTTTATGACATGACTATGCTTCGATTTGAATCGGGAAAACGAGTGGGATTCCGTGAGTACATGAGATCAGACGGAACTCGGTCTTACTTTTTCTCCTTAGAGATTGTCCGGGACCTTTGCCTTCATGCAGGCTTCATCGAGGTAGAAATTTATATTAATGCAGGGTTATATTGCCATCTGCAAGTTCCGTAGGCAATGTATAAACAACATATCATGAGAAGACGAGAAGCTTGAGTGTATCGTAGGTTGACTGTTGATCAGTGATCTAAGTGAAGTTTAATGTTGTGACTACCTGAGCTCTTTTTGCATCTGTCTATTTGAAGATTCTCTTCTTTTCTCTTTTTCCCCCTGTCATCTGTTTATGCATGAAGAATGCCAAAATGCTTGACTCTATGGTGAGTGTGGGAGAACTTTGAAAAGGCAGCTCTGAACTTTCAAAGTTCTTTCGGTGTAAGCAGGTGGGTAGTTGCCTTGGACTTTATGCTTCCATAAGGTGGGCTTTGGGCTCAAAGAGCTTTAGAATAGTTTTAGCAAACATCAAAATTTTCAATGAAAGGACTTTGGGAGTCCCGAGCTCCTTTTCAAAGTTTGGGAAAACTTATCCTCAATTTCCTGTTGCATTATGTTTTGTTTAGCTCTTTGTTGGTAAATCTGTTCGAGAAAATTCCTCATGTTGACTTTCCACATATTGCAGCTTGAGGTTGAATATTGTTGTATTAAGTCGCTGAATCGACGGAGTGGGAAGAGCATGCGCAGAGTGTGGGTCCATGGAAAGTTTCAGAAGCCCAAGTAATCTTCAGTCTGGGGACTGAAAAGAAAGCTCTAACTCCTGTAGATATTTTGCTCGATGGCGCGAATCAGTCCTCGCGAGTGGAATGTGCTCCTGGTCAAACAGATAACATTTTGGAAGCCCGAATGATGATTTCACGCTCTCGTAGACAGTAACTTTGCAAGCATTACTGTCGAGCTTGATTTGATATCGCGCCACATTCTCTGTCAGAAGGAGCATCAACAATCTGTCCATGGGCAGGCAAATACCCTCCATCGTTCCTACTTAAATGGATGACCGATATTCTGTGTCCAATTTTGCAGGTTCTTTTACTTCAAATGAATGGCTATCTTATCATCTATTAAACATGCCATTTCTGAATGCGCACCGTGTACCAAGAACACGCCGTGGAATGAAGGGATGCTCATCTTGACAAGGGGCAGGCTTCAATTTTAACGACCTGCTTCTTAGGGAATATAATAAGCTCTGAAGGTTCCTGTAAGTTTGAGTATTGTAAGTTTTCGCTTTCTGATTTCAATTCTTAGTCTCAGTTTGTACTAATGTCGTAGGTATTCCAATCATATTGATTTCATCGAAGCAATTAGTTCAAGATTTTGAAGAAAATATGATTATCCCCGTATATTCGTCGTGTTGGATACATTCGTAAAATTCATTATACTCGATTGGGCGTCATCCTGCTGTACCGATTCGTATACAAGCAGTACACAAGTAGTTAAGCTTATGGCCAAAAAACAAGTTATAGAAGGAGTTGAGGAACATGGATTTGGTTGTACTTGTTTCTGGCCAAAGACGAATTTCCGGACGGGATTCATTTGGCCGGGACATTTGTGACTCGATAAACTCTCGTTCCAATCGAAAGATCAATCTTGATAGTTGGGTGTTCTTAAATCTTGCTTCCGAAAGTTTTTCAAAATGGGTAATGCATGGATATTTCCACGTGGACTGCCACGTCACCATGCGTCGTCCACGTCAACAAATTTAATGGTAAAATTTGACGGAAGCTAATTGAGAATAAATTTATCATAGTTGTATCAGTTGGGGATTTTTGGCGGTCAAAAAATTAATTTGAGATTTTTTGTGGTATTAACTCTTCTAAATATTTACAAAAATTTAAATATTCATGAAATTCAAATCATTTTAGGAACACTATTCATATGGTTGTAAGAGGAGAAGGATGCAAATTCAACTTTAAGAATTTATATTTATTATGTGAGGTATTTATGAGATTACATTACTTGAGACTTTATAAAACGAGCATTCATGTAAGCATGAACATATTGAATTGTCATTTTGGAAAGATCTCGGTGTTTGAAAGAGTGTTTGGATTAATTTCGTAACATAAAAATGAGACATCGAGAGAGATTAGTAAATCGACGATGAAGTACACTATGTGATGGAGAAACATTCTAAAATATCTATACCTTTTTTCCTCGATAATCCATACTAAGTAAAATCAACTTAGCCATACCTAACAGTACTTGTTATATTGATTTGGTTCAAGTCGAACACATAAGACAACAAAATGACCTTTTCTTTTTTGTAATTAAAGAATATTTCAACAGTTGCTTATCTCACTAGCAAAATCGAGCAAACGAAAAGCATTCTCAGTCGCCTGTGAAAATATTCAGATATAAATTATTATCAATAATGAAAAATGATTTTCTTTAATTGATCGTTTTAAACAAAATAAGCGGTCATTTTTAGGAAAACCTTTTCCAATTCATTTATTTTCCGCTTCAACGGAAAAATCTCGTTGCAATGGGCCGAAAGCCTCCAAGAGAAAACTTCAGCCCATCAAGCCCAGCAGAAAACCCTTCTGCTCTGCTCCTCCTATAAACCCCCTCCACCTCTGTCCGTCCATGGCTTAAACCCTAGCCATCTCCTCCCCCGTCTCTCTCTCTCTCTCTCTCTCTCTCTCTCACTAGTCACTGCGACGCCTCTCCGTCGGAGGAACGTCCATTGCAGTCCTCAAGGTTCTCTCTCTCTCTCTGTCTCTCTGTGCAGTTGCTTATGCTGCTGGTTTCGCTCTCTTGTTGCATTGCTGGTCTCTGTTTGTGTGCGAGTGCTGTGCGTGCTTTCATTTGGGTTTGCGGTGAAATGGGAAGAAGGAGGAACGCACATGTCGAAGGCTTCCGGGCGGCTTGATCCAAGCCTGCGGAGCTCAAAAGCTGTGCCACACGAAAGTCATCAATCTTCCTATGCAACCAATCCTCTCGTGTCGTGTTCTTTGGATTCACGGGGGGATTTCGGAGAGGTCGATGTACATTTCCGTTTACAAATCTCGGTGCTGTCGCTTGTGCCTTGTGTTTTTGCTGCAAATGGGTATTTTTAGTGATGAATTTGTTTGTCTCTGGATGCTGGGAGTGACAATGGCTGAAGTGGGGTTACGATGTCTGGTGTGCTCAGTTCAATTAGTACATCGTCATTGGTCTCTCTTTCGGTTTGTTCTCTTCCTCGCTTCTCATTTGCTGGTGGTGCACTGCCTCTGTGTGTGTGTGTGTGTTCTTTGATGAAATTCGTCTATTCCGATGAGCCGTCTATGGGATCTCTTCGATCTCGAAGAGAAGGAAGAGATCTTTGGAATATAGATTCAGAATGTGGCCCTCCGATAAAGAATCAAACCCTAGTTCATATTCCCTCTGTTCTATATTTTCTTGAAAAGAGGCGCTCAACTTACACAGGAAAGCTATGATATTTTAAAGAAATACAAAGAAAAGAGAAGAGGGTGTGGGTGGTGATTTATATATAGCTTTGTATGAGTGTTAAGTTCTCTGTTACTATGCTTTCCCGTACGCCCTCAGCTAGAGGAAAAGATTGAATTTCGAAGTCAATCTGCAGCTTCTCTTTGTTATGGTTTGCGCTCAAATAAAATCTCAGAAATGCCCGTAACTTGCTTTAGTTGCGTTTCGGTACTGATGCAACGATTGGCTCGGAATTTTGATTTGGAAAATTTGGCGAAGAGTGCTACCTCATGTGCATTCCACAGGTTGACTTTACAGAATTTGTTGTGGTGATCTGAGGAAGGCTGTTGATTTGCCTTGTAACTCTTGTTTGGTCTTAAAGCTTGAGATGCTGACTCTAGTTTACTTGCACAGAGGTTGCAGTTGGGAAGCTGTGGCTGGTTTGAAGAGCATGTCGAATCCAAAGGTTTTCTTCGACATATTGATCGGTAAGATGAAAGCGGGCAGGGTTGTGATGGAGCTGTTTGCCGACGTCACGCCCAAAACAGCTGAAAATTTCCGCGCTCTGTGCACCGGGGAGAAGGGGATTGGTAGATCCGGGAAACCGCTGCATTACAAGGGATCGGCCTTTCACCGTATAATCCCCAACTTCATGTGTCAAGGCGGGGATTTCACTAGGGGCAACGGAACTGGAGGGGAGTCTATATATGGAACGAAATTTGCCGATGAGAACTTCAAAATAAAACACACGGGTCCAGGAGTGCTGTCGATGGCCAATGCAGGACCCGACACCAACGGCTCTCAGTTCTTTATATGCACCGCGAAGACCGCATGGCTGGATGGGAAGCATGTTGTGTTCGGGAAGGTTGTGGACGGGTATAACGTGGTTAAGGAGATGGAGAGTGTGGGTTCTGATAGCGGAACCACACGGGAGACGGTTGTAATCGAAGACTGCGGTCAGCTACCCGAGAAAATTGATGGCTAGCACCACCATCTAGAAGGTTAAATTTGAAATGCTCGTCTAGACTGCTTATATCGTTTTGTATGAGCCTCTTGAAATTACTTACGATGCCCGAACCTTATGTCGCAAGAACCATGACGTTCTTATGAAAGATGTTCGATCCATGGGACTGATTGATGCGAGTATTGCGCATCAAGATAATTCAATTTCGATGGCGCGAAAATGTTATGGTTAGTTCATCGAGGTCTTTGATGCGTATCAGAACGATGCTTACAAGTAGGAGAGAACTAGCATGGAGCTCTCACAGCTCACGTCGATTTACCACAGTAACGATACCAACCCTCTTGCCCAAAAAAGAAGAAAAAGCAAAACAGAGGATTACCCAAAGAAAACAACAGGAACAAGGAAAAAGATGTCTCGTGAATTGTTTATGTGATTAGACTCAAGTCACGCCGACGACGCCACGAGATTTGCCAAAGTGGGGAGAAGTGATTTTTTAAGGGGAAAAGAGATAAGCGACACCTCCAGAATTGACATGTTTATTATTTTCAAAGAGTCAAAACGACAGAGAAGGTTCCCCCATAGATGCGAGGGGGGCTTTACGCTATTTTAATTCCCCGGTTCGGGTCTTGTGATGCCGCGAGATGGCGGCGATGCGCACGGTCGGGCTGCGGCGCTGGCGGCACTGTCCCCTATAGGTCATACCCTTGTGACTCCGACGTCCGTCGTCTTGAGAAACGGTCGTGGTGCACCGAAGATAGATATCTAGCGCTCGCGGGGGAGTAAGAAAAATCGAAATCGAGGAGAACTACTAATTTGGCCTAGGTACTATTTGCCTTTGTCCAATTTTGGCTTTCGTACTTTATTCGCGACAGAATTGATCTCTAGACTCACTTCCGGATGCAATTTTTTCGCGATGAACTTTGTAAACAAACAGTGCTAACCAAAGTGTCGGATATCAACATGTGGTATCGAAACCGGAACGAAGAAACCGATGACCCCGAGCCTCGGAGCATCGGACTCGTGAACGTTACGATAGAATGGAACCGCTACTCCTCCAATTATATACACAAATGAAGATACCATAGTCCTAAAGAGGAGAATCGTTTACTTTAACATAACTTCCATTCATGATCTAAACAAATGTAATTCCATCCACAAAAAAAAGATTTGAAAAGGATAAACCCTCGGCTCTCTCTCCTACCTAAAATCTCAAGAAGCGTTTGTTTATAATTTGCTTATCCTCCGTGTTTACTTTCTCTTGAAGCAAGCGCAGAAGAAGACTAGTTTAGCTCAGCTCATCCACCGTGAATCCTTCCTGACATGTGGATCCCCTCGGACAAGTGTCGCCACCTCGGACTTGTTATTTCTCCACGGTGGAATCCCTAGTGGCACCCAATATTTTCTCGGAGGAGAAAAGAGCAAAAGGATCGTTCTTGCACTGTTTTTTCAAAAAAGTTCGCCACGTGGAGGGTTTTCTGGGCTTCGTGTAGAGGGAGACCGGGGCACGTTTGTGGAAGAACGGACCGTATGTGGAGATGGCAGCGGAGGAAGAGAAGGAGGAGGAGGTGGTGGTGCCAGCGGCGGCGGCGGCGGCTGAGGTCGGTGCAGGAAGAGAAGGCCATGGGCCAAAGTTTAGGGTGCTTAAGCAAAAGATGAATGGCACCATTATATAGAGTTGTCAACACAGAGTGGTTAGACTTTTTCTCGTTCGTGTCACTACGTATTCTAAAGTTGACGGGTAACATTTAGAAACGATCGACTCCACGTGGGAAATTGAAGGAACCGCAAGGTACAGCTTCCTCCAATTGCGTGACAGAAAACCCTAGTTTGAAAATCCTTTTTCTTCAGGGTTTGTCCAAGAAAGTCTATGTAATCGGATCGAAATTGATGATAATGAAAAGAATAGCCAGATCATTGGTACGCGCAATTTCTCTTTCATCATTTGATCCTGATGCCAAAGTCAGTTCTACACACTAATCATAATTAATTATTGGAACCACAAAAAAAGCAAAATTAAGCAACGGAAATTGAAACGGCATATTCTCTATGGGAAAAGTATCAAAAAAGTCGGCAAAAGTACACTACAAGTGTCATAACTTGTGTACGGCGATCACTTTGGTGCCATAACTTTTTTTCAGATCACTTTGGTGTCAAGTCGGAGGAAAAGAGATCACTTTAGTGCCAATTTGGCCGGAAATCCGATGTGGCATTTTTTATTACTTTTTTGACGCCGACGTGGCTTGCCGGAGGCTGAGTCAGCGTGTACAGTCAGCATTTTTTATTTTAAATAATTTTTTCCAGCGTGTACAGTCAGCATTTTTAATTTTAAATATTTTTTTTCCTTTTTTTTTTTCTTCTTTCCTTTTTCTTTTCTTTTCTTTTTTTTTCTTTTCTCCCCTCGCCGGCCGGTTGTCGGTGGTCGGCTGGCCACCGGCGAAGCCCGGGAAGGGCTGGGCGAGGCTTGCCCATGGCCGGCGAGGGGCAGCCTCGCTAGATCCGGGCGAGGCGACCCTCGGGCGACAGGGCGAGGCCGGCCCTCGCCGGCCCAGCGAGGGCGACCCTCGCCGGCGTCGGGCGACCCTCGCCGGCGTCGGGCGAGGGAAGCCCTCGCTGGGCGGGCGAGGGTCGCCCTGGCCGGCGTCGGGCGTGAGCGAGGAAGCCCTCGCACGGGCGGGCAAGGGTCGCCCTCGCCGAGTCGGGCGTGGGCAACCCTCGCCCGACGCCGGCGAGGGCGACCCTCGACGGAGTCGGGCGACCCACACCGGCGTCGAGCGAGGGTCACCCTTGCCGGCGTCGGGCGAAGGTCGCCCTCGCCGGCCTCGCCTGTCGCTGGCGAGGGTCGCCTAGCCCAGATCTGGTGAGGCCGCCCCTCGCCGGCCATGGGCAAGCCTCGCCCAGCCCTTCCCGGCCGGCGAGAGAAGAAAAGAAAAAAAAGAAAAGGAAAAAAGAAAAAAAAATATTTAAAATTAAAAATGCTGACTGTACACGCTGGAAAAATTTATTTAAAATAAAAAATGCTGACTGTACACGCTGACTCAGCCTCCAGCGAGCCACGTCGGCGTAAAAAATTAATAAAAAATGCCACGTCGGATTTCCGGCCAAATTGACACTAAAGTGATCTCTTTTCTTCCGACTTAGCACCAAAGTGATCCGAAAAAAAGTTATGGCACCAAAGTGATCGCCGTACACAAGTTATGGCACTTGTGGTGTACTTTTGCCCAAAAAAGTCCTAAACCTTTTGCGTTGATGCCAATTTAGTCCTAAACTTTTTTTTATGCCAATTGAGTCCTAAACCTTTTGCATTTGTGCCAATTGAGTTCTAAATCTTTTTTTGGTGCCAATTCAGTGCTAAACCTTTTGCATTGGTGCCAATTGAATCTTCAATCTTTTTTTGGTGCCACTTGAGTCCTAAACCTTTTGCATTGGTGCCAATTCAGTCCTAAACCTTTTGTATTGGTGACAATTCAGTCCTAAACCTTTTTGAGCTAAATTAACTGGAAGGACTGAATTGGCACCAATTAACCGGAAGGACTGAATTGGCACCAATATAAAAGGTTTAGGACTGAATTGGCACCAATGCAAAAGATTTAGGGCTGAATTGGCACCAATGCAAAAGGTTTAAGACTCAAGTGGCACCAATGCAAAAGGTTTAGGACTGAATTGACACCAATGCAAAAGGTCTAGGACTGAATTGACACTAATGCAAAAGGTTTAAGACGGAATTGGCACAAAAAAAAGGTTTAGGACTAAATTGACACCAATGCAAAAGGTTTATGACTTTTTTGACACTTTTGCGTATTCTCTATATCGGAGGATTAGTCATATAGTTTAGAACTTGGATTTTGGGTTACGAATTCAGAAATCCAATTGGAAGGAAAAGAATACCAAAAGAGTTGGTCACTAATTTGTGGTTAGCTGATTAAGACCTAACATTTCCATGCAAGAACATCGCGAGATAAAAAAAAACGGTAACTGGAAGTTGTCCGATCGAAGCATATTATTAAACTTCCATTGATATGTCTCTGGCTAGTTTCATTACATCAGTATCAATGACAATGACAGTACACTGGGAATATACTGATGTGAATGTTCTAGAATTCTTGTTTTGATAAAATCGTTAATAAGTTAATAAAAAAAAATGGAATGGTGTTGGACGTTTCCACTCTAATCTCTCAGAGTATATAATTTTCTTCAACTCTCATGAGGTCCCGTGGCTGACTGAACTTTTGCCGACTATTCAGTCAAATGCACTTTATTTAGATATGGTTGACCGCCTAAGGGCTCGAGCCTCGCGGTTTGGAAAGTTTTGCTAGGCAACAAGTTGATGGTGTAGTGCGCCGAAGTGACTTTGCCGAATCACTTGTTCCTTCTTCATGTAAGCCTAGAATTCATGCCCACGAAGGCGGGTGTGCTTCTATCGCATTTGAGTAAAATTTACAAGATCATTGAAATCACAAAGATGCTCAATTATTCACTCCCATTTCCCCCCCCCCCCCCCCCAATATCTTTTCATTCTTCCCATTTCGACCCCCAATTCTCCATGCTTATATAAACAACACTCCACCTCTCTCCCCACAACAAGAACTCCATATCTTGCTTTCCTTTCTTATCATATCTTCTTCCTCAAACAGAAGCTAAAAAGCTCCGACTCTCTCTGCTCTGAGTATCGGCAATGAAGTCCAGTAGCATTTTATGGCCTGCTTTCTTCTTGATCCAAAGCTTGTTTCTGCAACACATCAGTTGCCTGGCGCCCCCGGACCATAGCTTAAGGAAAGAGACACGGAGGTTGCCGCCACCTCCATCCGTTCTCGACCATCCCATCCATCAACGTCCTCTCCCACCACAGGCCCCGCCTCCGCTGCTGCCGGAGGCAGCCACATGGGGACCTCGGCAGCTGTATGACTCAGGGAGGCGTAGGCCGCCTCCACCTCCGCCCATTCACAACGTTCCGATCCATCAAGGCGCTCTCCCACCACAGGCCCCACCTCCGCCGCGGCCGGAGGTGGCCACATGGGGACCTCGGTAGCTATATGACTCGGGGAGGCATAGGCCACCTCCGCCCATTCACAACGT